TCTTGGGAAACTGAACCTACTGATTCAGAGAGCTACATGTGGTGGAGGGCAGCCTATCTGCTCTTCATGCTGGTGTGGCCTTCACCTGTTCTTCTGATTGTTCTGACCTGTCCATGAGCAACAGATATCTGCCCAGGTTTTGTTGGTGGTTTCTTAGACTTGTAACTTAATTAAAACACACTCTGGGAATTATTCATCATGGGGTTTATAGGTTTCTCTTTCTTTTGTGTTTACTTCTTGAGCCTCACCATTGTTCTCTGTAATGTTTTACGTCTCTGATTTTAATTCTTATGCTCTTACACTTGGATGACTGTGCACTAATAATAATGAACTCCTCTGCCATATAAAGGAGTTCACTGTTGGTAAATAGACCTTTACTATTTAGTATAACTGGTGATAGTAGTCAGGTCAACTTGTTTTAACCCTGGATCGGCTGACTTTGGTGTCAGCTTCTGTATTTCATCTGGGTTCCTTCCTGTATTTTGAGATCAGACGCTGTTCCTAGATGTACTTCCTGCTGCTTTAAGGGGCCTCAAAACACTCTGCAATGAAGAATAGCCCCTGGCTAGGGTCTACAATGACTACTGGGTAGCCAGTGTTGCAAGATGTCTACCCAACCTGACTGGTAGTATACCTTGGAGTCTACATAGTCGTGAATACTGAGAGTAGCTGTTGTCTCATTCCTCAGGAATATCCACAAGGTGGTTACAGATAAATGAACAAGATTCTTGGGCTGACCATTATGAGTCCAAATCCATTCTAAATACAAATAAACAAGGTGCTGAGCTATACTAGACTCCCAATATTTCACATAAGGAGTCTTGAGATGAAGAAGGAAATATCTATCAGCCTCTAGCTTATCACCTGAGTGTAGAAACATGATCCTGTATAAACTCTGCGAATAAAAATTTTTACAAAAGTGCATAATGGGCAAAGTGGTTCAAAAGACTCTTTCCTCATCATTGTTCTAGATCTTCTCAATCATGTGGTCCTGGCTGCTATCTCTCCATCATCCATGAGTTTTGGAATATTCATGATATAATTCTCATCTCAATATTGTTAGATTTCCAGAGTTGGTGAATCTAGAACTGTCATTTTCTGCTCCCTTTGTGGCATCAATTGTGATCTATCATCTCACTCACACTAACCTTTCCTTCTACACTTCTGGTGTAATTTTTTTTAATTATAATGTTTTCATGATGAAATTTACTTCATGATTCCAAATTCCAAATCCTCAGTTAGAATAACTTAACATGAAAGATATATCATATATATGGTATGTTAGATAACACGTGCAGTCTTTTGTCTTAGGGTTTCTATTGATGTGAAGAAACAACATGACCATGTAAATTCTTATAAAGGGAAACATCTGATTGGGCTTAATTTACAGTTTAGAGTTTTAGTTCATTAAAATAATGGTAGAAAACCTAGCAGTGTGTAGGCAGTCATCATGATGATGCTTGAGAAGGAGCAGAGATTTCTTCATTTTGATCCACTGGCAGCAGACTGAGACTGTGTTTCACACTGTTAATAGCTTGAGCATAAGAGTCCACAAAACATGCCTCCAAAATGACACACTTCCTCCACCAAGGCCACACCTACTCCAATGAGGCCATACCTACTATTAGTGATATTCCCTATGTGCCATGCAATTAAATAGAAGAGTCTATAGGGACCATAATTATTCTAAAACCACAGTCTCTCACACTCATCACTTCAAAATGGCCCTCTGTGTACAACACATACAAATCTACTCACCTTATGAGATAAATCCATGGCAGAGCAAACAGTGATTGCACCAAAGCATAACTCTGTGAATCTATGGGTTTACTGTGTTACTAATAGCAATGTGGATTAGGGGTTACTAACAGAAGCAAGGGTGATTCAAACCTCACTTAAAGCACACCCTATTATGAGTGATTATGATGAAGCCAAAACCCTGGAGTTCAGTGCACAACTTGTAGGCAGCCCAACAGGTCTTAGACATTAGCACTCAGAGCTCAGCTGGTCCAGGGTCTCACTCTTTCTATAGAATTAGGAATGGCCACTGATGACTCTTGAATGTTTCACCTTTCCATGACATAGAAAGTTTGTTTACTTTCTGAATCTCCTGAACATCTCAGGCGCTTACATTGAAGAAGGGATGTATCAAATCAGAGAAAAGTGTTATACAAAGTACATCAAAGAAGAGAAAAATTGGAGATTTAGCTCTCAGGGATGAAGGAGCAACATTAAATTTTTTCTCTGTGCACCCCTCTGCAGGATATCATGACAAGCCTTCACTCTCAGCCTGGCCAAGCCATATTGTTCCTTTGGGACAGCATATGGAACTTCAATGTGACTCTCCTAGTGACTATTACACATTCACATTGTACAAAGAACTTGGTAATCCTATCCCTCCAATCCAGGGAAGCCCATACCAGAAGAAATTTGTCTTTGGACCTGTGACAACAGAACATGCAGGGACATACAGATGCTATGGTTTGAATTATCATTATGCTATTAAAATTTCAGCCAACAGTGACCCTGTGAAGATCATAATTTCAGGTTCGAGATGATGTTTTGAATGCCTTTCATTTCCCCAAAACTCCCAACCTTGGAATTTTCAGAAACAGTGTTACTAAGAGTTTTGGACTTATAAAGGAGTATTCAACACAGAAAAATAGATAATGTTCTGGGCATAATAAAACATACAAGGTCATACATTTTTTTAGTTCCTAAGGCTTCCTGTGTGTTAAATAAGTCAAGGAAAATTGGGCTGGAGGATGGAACTCAGATTTTTAACAGTTGATATCAGGATGCAAGAATATCCTGAATTATTTCAGGTCTGTAGAACTACAGGGGTTGATGTAACAAAGTAAGGAAAAATTCAGTTGTGGGCCAAAGAAATCATCATGAAGGAGACACCCTGTCACTAACGCTAAACATGGATGAAGGGTCCAAGTGTCAAGGAAAGCATGAGACTCTAGAAGCTGGAAGGTAAAAACAAACACTTTCCTAGGGATTTCAGTAGATACAATTCCTGAAGAAACCTGATTTATACCATTTGAGCTTTTCAGAATTCTGATCTCCACAATAATTGTATTCTGTTTAAGAATCAAATTTGTTGTAATTTGTTATGTTAGCAACTGGAAAATAATATAGGTTCTCATGTCAAGGGCAAATTAAGATGGAGGAAAGGGATGCTCTGAGAGCAGTAAAATCAGGATGCTAATTCATCAATGTGTTGGAGGAAACAATGTTCATGATTCTGGATCAGGAATGCCTCATAGGGGTTTGAACCACAGTGAGAGCTAGAAGTCTTTCCCTCATAACTATGTTCAATACCAATTCCTTTATCCTGCCAATGTTTATACTTTATCCAAAGTTGCATAAAAAAGACACATAAAGCAGCCTGGTGTGAAGCTTGCCATGTTTCCTGCACTTTCCAGGCTTAGAAAAAACAATAGGTTCTATGGAAGTAGTACTCAAAAGACACATTGTCATCACAAGCCAGTGGGAAGATATTGTACTAATCCTATACTCAAATAAGTGGGAAATGGACACAAAGATGGAGGAGTCTGTGTCCAGAGTAGAAGTAGACAAAAACAAGTGCACTGGAGCACTAACAGGGAGAACAGACCAATTGAGGGGGAACCACGGGTCTTCAAGGACACAGAGATTTTGATCAGGTTCATACAATTTTTTTTATTCTTAGGAATCTACAAGAAGCCTTTCCTCTTGGCCTTACCAACTCCCCTTGTGAATTTAGGAGAGAAGGTGACACTGGAGTGTCGATCAGAGATTATGTTTGACACCTTCATTTTGACTTCACATAAAACTGGAACAATCAAAGGCTCTTTCAAGCTTTCTGCAGAACATTGTCATGGAGGTTCCCAAGCCAACTTCTCAATAGGTCCTGTGACATCTGATGATGCTGGGACATACACATGTTATGGTTCCTTCAATCACTCTCCATATGAGTGGTCTGAATCCAGTGATCCCATTGACATAAAGATCACAGGTAAGAGCATGTCACCTGCTCATCATTCTCTTTGTGATACAGAAAACTATTCTATACACTACAAACTATGAGAGGTCACCAGAAAAAGCAGTGTAAATAATTTATATAAAGGCAACCTTGTTAAGTGTTTTACTGGCATAGACAATGAAAAGAAATACATAAGAACAGACCCTTGGTTATAACATAAAGCACAGATACAGGGAGGTGCAAAGTAGATATAAACAGAAAATGACAATTAGGTGAGCATAATATGAACCAGAGAGAATGAAGACTCTCTACTGACATTCAGAAAATTATTGACTTCTACCTCTATAAGAAGTCTACCAAAAGAGCCAGACAGATCATGTGTCTGACCTGAGTCCAAATACTTAATTGGACTGGTTCTTAATGAGTCTTTAAACCTTCACACAGGTGGAACCCATGAAGGGCTGAGAATTAGTAAACATGGAATGTGTGGTAAGAGAAAATCTAAAAAAAGACAGAAGCCTGCATGGAAACTTTGATAGTAGAGATGAAAAAATTATAGCAGATATTAAATATTTCAAGACAGAGCTTGTCAGACACATGATATGTCTGGCTCTCTTGGTAGAAGACTTACAAAGTTAGAAGCAAAAAACAAATTCTGAATTAAGTGTTTGGGAAGCAGATGACTTACCACACTTGAACAGTACACACACTAAGAGGAACAAGAGAGAAAAGATCACCATGGTCATTGTTCAAGAGAAATATAGATATTTATGGACTATTATGTACTTTGAAAAGAGAGATTAATTAACACAGATATGTAAATGGATACAAGAATGAAAAACAGAATGATATTAGATTCTAGATTTTAATTATACATAGGATGGCAAAGTTAAAGGTCATGAAATTAGCAATTGACCATGAGAGGAAGAAATATTTTCATAGAGAGGGATGGGAAAAAAATGAAAGATGTATGACATGGAGGACGAAATGAGGGGTGTAATGAGATCAGCAATGCTGTACAAGGAGGGAAGAGAGAAGAAAATGAACAAAAGGAGCTGTATGAGGATAATATAATGAAGACTGTTACTTGGTATGCTAATTAAAACAAAATCATAAGTAACTCTAATTGAACCCATTTACTTGTAAAATAATTGAAAAAAAATGAAAGTATATAGAAGACCAATTAGAAAAATGAATGTGATTAGTGGAAGTTGAGGGGCAAGAAAGAATAATACCATTAATATGGTTAATAGTATACATCTATAAATATATGTAACAACAATTTTTACAAACATTAAATGATATAAATACATTAAATGATATAGTTCAATTTCAAAAATTAAGAAATATTTTCAAATAAGCATAAAAATATATTTTGATTTCATATGAATATTTCATAATGAAGGTAATTGCTAGATAAAATTATGCTCATAAAAACAAACTTTAAAAGACAGATGGAATGCACCAATGTAAATAGAGGCAGAAAATGTCAATAAGCAAAAGTTGGCATAAAATATTTGAGTCCAGAGTAAGGTCATAGACTAAAGATGGTAACACAGAAATAGAGAGAATGAGAGAAAGAGAGGAGAGGAGAAATGGAGAAATTGAGAGGCAGGAATGGTAAGAGGCAGAGAGAAAACAAAAAAAAGAAGCTGATAGGTGAAACACTCAGGTGTGAATGAACGCTGGTAACTAACTACATCTTCTTATTTCTTCCAGGATTATACAAGAAACCTTCTCTGTCAGCCCTGTTGGGCCCTGTGTTGATATCAGGGGAGAATGTGACCTTGTCCTGCATCTCTGACCATCAGTTTGACATGTTCCATCTGTCCATAGAAGGGGTGCCTCTGGGGCAGGGGCTGCCTGCAATGCAGAGTCACAATGGGACATTCAAGGCCAAATTCCTTCTTGGTCCTGTAATCCAGACAGGGAACTATAGATGCTATGGCTCTTTCAGTAACTCTTCCCATGTGTGGTCATCCCCAAGTGACCCATGGTACTTTTCTGTCACAGGTAAGAAAGCCTCACATAGAGATCTCATATTTTGTGACTAATGAAATACTAAAACCATATCTGGGAACCATCCAACTGATGATAGACAGAAAGTATCATGGAACTACAGTGAAGGATTGCTGTGCATCCTAGAGTCATATATGTACATGTGTGTCTGTATGTGTGTGTAAGATATTTATACACTCATATGTATATATATGTGTGTGTATGTATATGTAGATAAATATGTATATATGTTTATGTATATATGACACATACACATATATATATGTAAATAAGCATATCTGTAGATATACATATACCAATAATTATCAGAAAAAAAGAGTCTATCTGCGTAAGAGTGCTGTGGGGATATGCAAAAGCTTGGCAGAAGGGTAAATGGAAGGGGCTAGAAACAGGAAAGAGAGGAAGAAAGGAATACACTTATATTTCAGTTGAAAATCTTTTATAAAAGACATGGAACTTGAGACATGGTATCAGATTACAAAACTCCTTAACTCCCAAACACTCCTTATATGATTGCACCTGAACTGGGAGATCTGTGTGTCCAGGCAGATATTGAAACAGGTCAGGACAGACTCATTAAGGATGAAGTTCAAATCAGTTTGGGAAGAGCAGAAATGTTGAAGCCCACGTGAAATCTCACTTACACAGATCTCCCCATAGCATTCTTGTAGGTGTGTGGTCCCTACATGAGTGTGTGGGTTCACACGGGTCCGTGGAATGAAGACACAAAGGCATCTTATGAATGAATATAGCCTATCGTGGCTGCAGGGGCGTCTAGCCTCAAAGGACTGAAGCACTCTTCCCTTCACCTAGGACAAATTTATTTGTCCTTTTTCCAGTTTAGATAATAAATTTCCATACCTTCAAAGAAACCCAAAAGAAGCTCCCAGAGACCAAATGCCAGGTGCAAAATACTTGAACTATCAGGTACCTTGATTTTCCGGGTTTCCTGGACCAAGTTTTGCATAGGCCTTTGATCCTTGGGGGACTCTCTGATCCTTGACTCTCAAACAAGATTCACATAGGGCAATAAGAGAAACAAAAGGTAAGAGAAACAAAAGGTGTGGCTAAACTAAGGAAGGATTAGGGCTAGGATGGATTAGAAAGGATTAGGAATCTCTGGAGCCAAGCCAGGAACTCAGTAGGAATGCCACTACACAAACATTCTTCTTGAATCATAACAACTTGAAATCCAAAGAGAGAGTCTATACCTAGAAGCAAACCACATAATGGTACCATATAACTCTAAAGGTTCCACACTAAGGGGTTTAGTAGGTGCTGGTCACTGTCCAAACTCAAAAAACACTCCATAGATGAAGGCAGACAGGCTCTTGATGACCTTTCTCCCTCTCTTGTCCCTTGTTTTTATTAATAAGATTATTTAAGATTCATGTTGCACTGCACTTTGGTACCTGTTGTGGGTACCTGTATTGATCACCATATATTGCAAATATAAACTTCCCTGCTGAGTTTGAGGGATGCATTAATATAGGGATCCAAAAGAATGTCATAGGAGCCAGTTTAATACTGTGTGCATTTAACAGAATGAGAATAGTAG